CACACACACACACACACACACACACACACAGACACACACAGGACATAGACAGATCTCAGCGACACACAGCGGCCTCTTGCTTCACAGATTGTGGAATGAGAACTGAGCTGGAGTCGTGACTGATGCAGCAGCAGATGGTTACGCAGCGGATGGAAAAAGAAACGGTGTTATGTTAAAGAAACGGCGTTATGTTAAAGAAACGGTGTTATGTTAAAGAAACGGCGTTATGTTAAAGAAACGGCGTTATGTTAAAGAAACGGTGTTATGTTAAAGAAACGGCGTTATGTTACCTTCTTAACGCGTTACACCCAACACTGTTTATCAAGGAGGCCATGAGAACCAAATCTGGAATTCTAAATGTATCACGTCTGTGTAGGAAGTGTATGATGTGGATCCATGCGTCTAAAGCCTGGTTCACACGAGACGATTTTAAAATAGTCGGGCGATAAAAAAATCAAGGGTCTAACCACTTTGGTCGTACAGTGTGTGGTGCAGCCAAACGGCAAAAACACACACAAACCGATTTCTCCCCCGAGCATTCACAGGTCAGACGGACACCTCACAAAATCTCTGGAGATCAAGCGTGACGTCAGAGTAAACAATCATGGCGGACGAAGAGGAGGCAGTGGCGATAGTTTGTTTTTATCTGAGAAAAGACATAATCAAAAGAAAAGGCTCGGACTTTACTTCTACATCGTGATCTGGAGGTGAGTTGTTTTTTCATGGTGTTTCTTCGCCGCCACGTCACCCCGTCTTCTGATTGGCCACACGCCGCAGTCATGGCAACGTGCTCGTCTGTCCTTGGGGGACACCACACATGAAGAGAAATTGGGCCAAAACAATCTAACATGTTGGATATCCCCGATAGTGAGATCGGAGCAGTCCCGAAGTCCTTCAGAGCGACGAGCACAGTCTTAACCACACACGGAAAATCCATCAGATCTCTTTTTACGATATTCGGAGCGTTCTTAAAGATTGTCGTTAGGGGTAAATCGTGTCCAAAATCGGCCTAATTATCTCGCCGTGTGAACCAGGCTTAAGGGAAGTGGACATGGGTTTGATCCCATTTTGACAAACACTAGTTTTTCACCTGCAGCCACAGGTTCACAGTGTTATGCTAAATTATATCAAAATGGACTCTGCAAAATGTCTGGTTTCACTTTTGTTTTCAGAAGAACAATAAAGTTCACAAAGAAATTTGAAACTGAAAAAAATTCAATGTAAGATTCCTACAAGTGGAATGAAACACACACACACACACACACACACACAGTCTGACTTTAAGGACAGTTTTGCGGCTCTTTCCTCTGGGTTTCTCTCCTGTTCCTCCAGTGTAGAGTGAACTTAAACACAGTATTAAACCTGGACACTTAATACCACATCAAGTGCTATTTCTAAACCATTATCTCCCTTCAAAACCTGAATGCTCCGTACTACATCAGGGAAGATTCTTCACATACTCATCTGGCACTTTTGCTCAGTAATTGCTGTTGGGTCGTTTTGGTAAAAATTGGCCTTGGAAGAAAAGTAAAGCATTACAAAAGAAATGGATTTGTGTGTGTGTGTGTGTGTGTGTGTGTGTGTGTGTGTGTGCGTGTGTCATTACGCCGTCTCTATAGCAGGTTCTGATCAGCTCTGCGGCTTTTCTCTATTCTAGTTTTCACAATAATGAGGCCGACCCTATGCAAATTGAATGAAGACAATATGCAGACATCATCTTCCCAAATTGAAAAAGTCACAACTCAACTTACTCTGGCAAAATGACTTCTGTGAACTGGAATAAATCATCTCAGATCCTAATTGTGGCCTGTCGTACAAATGTGAGAGCCGGTTAGAGAAATCTGCCGTAAACATAAGTTATGCATTATTAGGAAGGCAACGTTCTGTTGTTCTGTCCACTGCAAAAAACACTAAAATATGTGTGTGTGTGTGTGTGTAGGCATATGGCTGTCTATAAACCTGTGAATATATATGTGTATCTGGAGAGACTTCAGAAGACAAAATGCATTTTGAATGTTTTTATTGAAAGGTGGTTTGGCGCCCTGGGCCCCGGCGCGGCGTTTAGCGAGGCTCCTGCGAGAGTGCGCGCACAATCCCCCCGGGACCTAGGCACTGGTGGTGGCATTCGGGCAGCAGGAAGAGGCATGATTGAGGCAGGGTGCGAAAAGGAGGTGGAGGGGAGGCGATGGTTTGCAAGGCTTCGAGAAGGCCGTAAAGTGGGAGTTTCTCCACTTTTAGGCTGCTGGCCTGGCTGGCGTAGGTTGGTCGGAAATGGGCGTTTGCTACGATAGGCCGAGGATGCGAGGCCGGCCTGGAAGGGGCTGGCTTTGGCTGACAGTCTTCCAGAGTTGAATTTCCGCGAGGCTGCATGTGTGTGTGTGTGTGTGTGTATCCTCTTTAGTTTAGTATCAATCAATCAAACTTTATTAATAAAGTGCTTTTCATACAGGAAATACAAAACAAAGTGCTTTAGTGTTTTAGTTATGACATATATTAAGTACACACACACATACACGCTTTTGTTACCTGGTGGGTCCCTTTGACAGGGCCGTTCAGAATGGGACCCATAGACATAATCTTTTTTTTACTGGGACTACTTTAAGTAATACAAAACAGTCAATAGAAACCAAACAACTATTTTAAAGGAATTTTATTTTAGATTTTTTTTTCGAATTGCAGTGATTCTATTTTTGACATAGAATTTAATGCCACTCCATGTCCGATGTCTAAGGTCATCTGGTGAGGCATTAATGCAGGCCAGGCCAGGCCAGGCAGTGAGACTTCCCAGGGACCTTTCCAGTCTGTATGAAAGGTGTCATGGTCTTCTCCACAGCCTTCACCTCAGATGCAGACCATGGCTTTCTCTAACGTTCTAGGGAGAGAAATAAAAATATATTAGCAATATACACTCCCAGGGTTAGGACCAAGCAGCCTGGCTGTAATCCCCCACCTGGTACACTTACCAGAAGGGGCACTGCCACTACCATGGGGTGCATCTGGATGAATGGTTGAAGGTTCTCCGCTTGAAGTTTCTTTTAGCCCGTCCGTTTGTGAGAGGATCTCTACTGCTCTCCCTGTCGCACAGAAAATAAAAATACAAGTGGCCTTTAGGGGAAAAAAATCATACATATTTTAATAATATCAAGAATTACCTTCAGGCTCAATTTATATCTGGTCGAGGCTCTTTCCTTCGAATTCCGTCACTCTTCCCTGCTCCATGGCCATCAACACTTTGCTGATTTTGGCCAGCTCCAGTGTCCCCTCTGGTAGTCTGTAATATTGTCTGTGGATGCGAATGTCATGGCCGAGGAAGTTGGCAAGTATGTCCATCTCATTCTCTTTCATATTGAGAACTGTAGACATAGTAGCTATGTGCTTTCTAAGTTTGGTTGAGGATAGCATCTCTGGATGCACCGCACCACATTCTTTGGCTACCTGGCGTAGGGAGTCTGATCCCCTGATGTGGGTGTCTGCGCCCGGGCGGGAAAAGAAGTATGGGTTATGGTCAGAGATGGAACAGGCCCTTCTGTTCTCCACCAGCACCTCCATCGAAGCAATCATTTCAGGAGTCAAAAGAACCGGCACTTTCCGACTTCTTTTCCCTTTAATTTCAATGCGTTGAAAATGCTGACACAGCTTTTTCTCAAGTTGGGACAGTCCCAGAGCAATGTCAGAATGGATCCCAGTCTTACTTCTTAAGGTAAAGGCTGTCAGTGGCATCTTTGAAACCTCACCTTCCCTTCTTCGATTGAAAATAATGACCTCACAAAGAGTCAAAACTGCCAGTTTAGACCAATGCTTAGACGTTGGCTCACTTATTAGGGTTTGCACATATTCAGGTCGACATACCTCAATATGTGCATGCATGGCTCTAACGTCCTCAGTCAGAGGGAGCAGGTCCGGAGTGTTCCACTTGGCTTGCCGGAGGGTCTGTAGGGCAGCAGAAGAAACACAGACGTCCCACCTCTTCTCAAAAAGCAGCCGGCTTCGTTGGAGGTTTTTAATAAATAGTTCATCAACACAATGCTCCATTTTTGAGTCACATTCAAGAATATCTGCTAGCTTTCTGAGGCTATGGCCGAGTTTGAGGGCCAAGGATGGAGTCTTGTATTGATTTGTTTCCTCATCATATCCAGCCACAGACCTGACTGCATCAATCACATGGTTAAAGTTGGAAGGAATAAAGAAATCCTTAATTGTTTTCAGTTTCCTGCAGTTTTTGCTTCGTTAATTAACCTACCGACTTCTCTCATTTTCTGCCTAATGTAATCATGCTTAGTCTTATCATGCCCGTGTTTTAAGTACAGGTGCTCTCCGAGTCTCAGAATCCCCTTTTCTGCTTTGACAACACCCGTGACCTCATCCTGATGCATTGCCGAAATTAAAGACCACAGCTTTTTGCTAATGCCCTCCGGTACAGGCTGGGCTAGGGAGCAGAGGGACTGGACCCTACTTCTACCTGGTTTAGCCTGGTTTAGCCTGGGCATCTTTCTGTGAAAGCCGGCACCTGGCCACATGCCTCCACAGCGACTTTCGCTTAAGCAATGCCCCACAGTCTATAGAGTGCAAAAACTCACTGGATTTAACTGGGCAATTTGGCTGTTTAGCTGGGACTAAAGTTCCAATGCCGGCCTTTAAAACCTCAAAATTGTGCTCACGGTTTCCACTATTCCTGATCAAATCAAACTGAAGTTTACGTGCTTTAGATTTCACAGGTAGAGCCAATGCTCTGGCTACGTCACTTTCATTTCCATGTTTTCTAGTCAAATGACGGGACATTTTGTGGCAGGACATTGAACAGTAGAGGCAGAAGTGTCTCTTGCTGTAAACTCGCCCCCCATTTTTCTTCTTTTGCAGCTGCATGATAACAATCTTATTTGCCTTTGGTTCGTCACTTTCCGAGTCTTGAAGAAAAGTGTTTTTGATTTTTCTTTTTCCATACTTTTTTACAGGTTTCTTCTTGACAGTTAAATCGTCAGAATCTGAGTCGACTTCATCAATTAGGGACTCTTGACTAAGCTGCACAAACAACAAATAATTTGTAATCATTCTATATAACAATTTGAAGTCATGACTTGTAGTCAGCACTTACCAGTGGTTTGTAAGCGTGCGCTTCAGTGTGCTCCTCCATGATTTCTTGCAGCCTAATGAACCACACACTTGCACCTTTTTCTAGCCTGACACCTGATTTCCTCTGTTGTGCTGCTCCATGATTGGCTCCAGCCTGCTGGACTGAAATTGCCCCAGTGTGCCCCTCCTTGATATCCCGCAACCCACCACCAGGGTTCCGACACATAACACACTTTTTTCAGGAAAGTAAACCTCCAGGGGTCCTTTCCATATTTTTACAGAGACTGCATAAGGACCGTTAGAAAAGCATTACCCATTGATTATTAAGCTTGGACCAGTGGGGTCCGGTGTTCGGGCCCCACCACGTAAAACCAGTCCCCATGACGTGAGTGGAATCTCAGGTTATGGAACCCACCAGGAGTTGAAAACAAGTGCACACACACACACACACACCTACAGCCACATATGATGGGTAAAGTAGGTCATTACTATTTTGTCTAAATACATTTTATTTTTATCTAAACATTTTTTATATGTTTTAATTTTTATTGTTTTACTTTTATTTATTTTTTATTTATTTATTTGTTTATTTGAGCAGACAAGTACTGCTCAAAAGGAGTGGGCCGAAGCAAAAGCTTATTGGTGCCCACCCCCAAAACACTACATAAAAATATACACACTTTACATAGAACAGCAACTATGCAAATGTAAAAAATAAACAAGAAAGAACAGACGATAACAGCAACATTAACGGCAAATAATGGCAACTGTTTAAAGCAACATCACTCTTCAAGGTCAATAAAGATCATAATGACTATAATAAGCAACAAAACAAAGTTGATAAAATAGAAAAAAAAAAACAAAAAAAATAAATAAAAAAAACAAACACCAATTTATTTTAGCCCGATTGCGCCCCCTAGTGACATATAATTTCCTCCTCTTTATATTTATCGAAAGTCTTTTGTTTGTATTTAAATTTGAACACATTAATGTTTGGACTATGTTTCATCTCCCGCTCCAACTTATTCCACAGTTGAACCCCATTAACTGTGGGGCTGAAACTTTTCAGTGTTGAGCTGTGTTTCTGTATCATCAAGTTCAATTCTTCTCGTAGTTCGTAACAACTAGTTCGCTCTTGAAACCTTTTCTGTATTTGTTTTGGTAAATGTTTATATCTTGCTTCATATATCAACTGTACAGTCTGGAACTCAATAAGATCATAAAACTTCATAATCTTTGAATTTATAAATAACGCGTTTGTATGATCTCGAACACCCACTTTATGAATAATTCGAATGGCTCTTTGTTGCAGCATCACTAACGGTTTGACTGTGTTTTTATAAGTGTTTCCCCAGATCACAGAGCAGTAATTCAGATATGGCAGAATCAGAGAACAGTATAAAGTACGTAGAGCTTTGAAATTTAAAAACTGCTTTGCTTTTGCTATTACGGAGATACTTTTTGATATTTTAGTGGATATGTATTTAATGTGTTGTTTCCAAGTTAGCCTGTTGTCTATTATAACTCCAAGAAATTTGATTTCTTGCACCTGTTCTAAGACAATACCCTCTATCTGAATCATCTCCTGAGTGTTGGAATTACATTTGCCAAATATCATGATTTTACTTTTACTTAGATTTAGAGATAACTTGTTTTGTTTGAACCAATAACTTACTTTTTTGAGTTCCAGATTAACATTTTGAAATAGCTTATGTAAATTATCACCGGTTGCAACAATATTCGTGTCATCGGCAAATAAATTTCAGTATTTTAGATGTTTTAAAAATGTCATTTATGTACAGATTAAACAGTTTTGGACCAAGAATGGAACCCTGAGGTAAACCACACACAATTTCTAAACAGCTTGATTGAAAATCACCCAGTTTCACATATTGCTTCCTGTTTTTTAGATAACTGTTGACCCACTGTAATGCCACCCCCCTGATCCCATAGCGTTCTAGCTTCTTAATTAATAGTTCATGGTTTATGGTGTCAAATGCTTTACTGAGGTCAAAAAATAGTCCAATTGCTTTTTTCTTATTGTCTATAGCGTTAGTAATTTCTTCAGTTATGTCAAACAGTGCATGTGAAGTTTAGTGGTTTTTTCTAAAGCCAAACTGATTGTCACAGAGTGTATTATTTTTTTCGATGAAGCTGTCAAGTCTGGAATTGAAAATGTTTTCTAAGATTTTGGAGAGATGTGAAAGAAGTGAAACAGGCCTACAGTTTGTAAATATATGTTTGTCTCCAGATTTAAGCAGGGGAATTACTTTGGCTACTTTCATGTGTTGGGGAAATTGTCCAGTTTGTAGTGATAAATTACATATGTGTTTAAATGGCTTTGAAATACCCGCAAAAACACTCTTTAAGGTCCTCATGTCCAAATCGCAGTAGTCAGTCGATGTTTTGTCTTTAAACCCTCTCACTATTATTAACTCATTTTCTTCTACAGGTTTCAGAAACAGTGAACTTGGGTTGGTTTCTATTTGATAGCAGGAGTCTTTCTCAACATTTGTGATGTTAGCAGCCAGGTTTGGACCAACATCAACAAAGAATTTATTAAACGTTTCAACTACTTCATTCATATTAACTATGGTTTTATCCTTGTCTTTAAAATATTGTGGATGATTTATCATTCTGGGCTTATTTCTAATTATTTTATTTAATATATTCCATAACCCTTTAATATTGTTTTTATTCATTTCTAGCAAGTTATTATAATAGTTCTTTTTGCAGTTTCTAATAATATCAGTGAGTTTATTTTTATATTTCTTATATTTCTCTTCAGCTTCTTTTGTTTGTTTTTTAACAAAGTTTTTGTAAAGATAATTCTTTTTTTTACATGCGTTTAATAATCCTTTCGTCATCCATGGGTTTTCTATGATCTTTCTTTTTTTACTGTATTTTTTTACTGGACAATTTTTATCATATGCTTCTTGAAACACTTTCACAAACTCCTCATACGCCTTGTTACAATCACTCTCTAAGTAAATATTGCTCCAATCATTCATCAGTAGCTCATTTTTAAATGCTTCAACTGTTTTATCTGTTTTTACTCTTTTACACAGAAACATGTTTTCATCATTATTTTTTAGGTTGTCATTATCATACAGTACAAAGACAGGAAGGTGGTCACTAATATCATTTATCAAAAGTCAGCTGATAGTTTTACATTCTATATCGTTTGAAAAAATATTGTCTATTACTGTTGCACTGTGGGTTGTGATTCTGCTTGGTTTAGTGATCAATGGAAACAGTCCTAAACTAAATAGAGTGTTTATAAAGTCGTCCGTTTTTTTATGTTTGTTTTGGTTTAATAAATCAATATTGAAATCCCCCCCCACAAACATAGACTTTTGACTGGAGCTGGTGAAGTGCTCCTCCATCCAGTTAGAAAAAAAATCTAAGTCTGAGCCAGGTGCTCTGTATATACAAGAATACTTTTATTATTTTCTCTTTTGATTTCAACCGTAAGACACTCTAAAATATCATCCACTGCCATTGTCTTATTTTCAATCACTTTATGATTAAAATGTGAGTTAATGAACATAGCCACCCCCCCACCCTGCTTATTTAATCTGTTTTTACTGATGAAATCATACCCCTCTATGTAAAATTCTGTTTCCCTGTCCTTGTGCATCCATGTTTCAGTTAATAAGATGATTGTAAATGGTTTTGTAAAATGACTTAAATATTGTTTGATGTGATTGAAGTTAGCATATAGGCTTCTACTATTGAAATGGATGATGGAGAATGCGTTATTGTTGATGATTTGACTGTTGAAGCGGTGTTCAGTGTAATATTGACAGTTGTTGTTGGGTCCTGTAAAAAAGTTCGTGTCCGGGTCGATGTCTATATCAGTGTTCTGTGTTTCGTATTGGGCGAAAGTGTAGTCCAAGTCTAATGTTTCTATGATCGTCCTGAGTGAATGATCCAAAGCAAAATGTCCTGTTGTGTGTGATGTGTTAGTGGCCATGAGGAAAAAAGTGCGAGCATACCGGGGTTATGCTGAATGTCCTGTTTATCTGCCTTGGTTCGGTGTGCTGGTGGTGCGCTGGTGAACTATCAGTTTGTCGTATCTTAAAAATGCTATTTCCCCCGTTCCCTTGCGGCTCGCAACTCTGGCATCAGTTCTTTTCTTTTCCTTTTCACTGCATCTGTGTAGTCCTCATTGATGATGCCACAATGGGTCGAGGTCGTGATCTCTCCCCGTCAGGTCTCCCGACGCGGTGTACCCGCTCCAGCTCCACGGTCGGCGGCAGCTGGAGCTTCTCAGTCAGGATCTTTTTGACTTTCGCCTCCGCGTCGGCCCAGGACTCCCCCTGAGACTCCAACACCCCCTCAAACACCAGATTGTTCCGGCGGCTCTGCCCCTCCAGGTATTCCATTTTGTCCGTGAATATTAGCAGACTGTCACATAGTTTGTAAAACTCCGTTTGCTGTGTTTTATTGTGTTCGGTAAGTTTTGTGTGTGCTTCCTTGAGACTGTCCACTTCCCCTTGCGTATATTGCAGGCTTGTTTTGAGTTCTTGAATATCCTTAGTTATTGTGTCCATGCGAGTGTTTGTTGATTCCATGATTATTTTGATAAATCCTTTAAAGTTTTCTTGTTGCTGGTGCAGTAGTTCTTTGAATGTATCCTTCTGGTGCTCCAGTAGCTCACACACTCGGCTAAGGCTAACCAATTCTTCCTCCGCCGCCTCTGCCTGCTGCCTCGTCTCCGCTTTTCCTGATTTCGGCATATTGATCAGTTTACAGCGTTTTCCTTTAGCTTGAGTGCCACAGTCTCGGTGCAGCGGTCTCAGTGCAGCAGTCTCAGTGCAGCAGTCTCAGTGCAGCAGTCTCAGTGCAGCAGTCCTTTTATTTGTTATTATTAATTCTATTCAATGTATTCTTATATAGCCCTAAATCACAGCAGTCGTTTTTTGGAGGACAAACAAAACAGTTGAAATCGCCGACTCAGTGTTGCTAGGGGCAACGCTAACATTACCAAGTGTGATTATTGTTATTGTTATTATTTTATGTAATCTTTTTCTTTGCATTATAATTGTTGCCTTGTTCTGTTTAATAATGACATTTTAACCATTTGAGCTCTAAAGGCACTCAAAAATAACGTATACAAAAAAAATGAGGTTCTAAGATTTGGCTTGACGACGTAATGCAAAACATAAACTTTTTATTTTATTTTAAGTGAAAAGGAGCCAAAGTGTCCGTAATTACTTACTTATTAGTCTTCATTGAGCATGTGGTTTTGCATTGTCCTGAGTCTGAGTCAAACTGTGAGAAAGATGAGGTTTCCACAGACTGGGCTTCACTCTGCTCATGACGGCCTTCAGAGGAGACGCTGGTTCAGCAGGAGCAGAGGCAGTGTGACATGCAGACCAGCAGACAAGGTGTAATCCGTAGATAAACAGTGTGGAGGAGCGGACAAACAGACACAGGGCTGTACCTAACACACACTGCCCCCAAGTCAAACAGCCCCCCCAGCCCCCCCTGTCTGCATTTACATTACATTAAGTCTTCAGGACTAGATTGACATTGAAGGATTTTGCCTTTAATGCCTTCAGGATAGAAAGGTGTCCAAGCAGGGTTTTTACAGTGTTTTATAAGCTTTAAGGTTAAGTCAAGTTTATTTCTATAGCACATCTACAACAACAACAACCGCTTCCATAGTGCTGAACAGTTTAATACACAATACAGAAAACAGATCAACAGATATTACAGCAAACGAGCAGCCAAACGACGAGCAAGTGGTGAAGTGACGACACAGCACAAAGAAGTGCAATAGTCGAGACGTATGAACAACTCGCTCAAACTCATCAAAGGGAAGATAAGCTTTCACTTTCTAAAGACCCGCAGTTGGAAGCAGCTGGTTTTCACAACAGCAGTGATCTGTTTGTCCAGTTTAAAGGAGCTGTCCATTAGAACACCAAGATTCTCAACCACAGTCTGAGAGTGTGGAGCTAATGGGCCAAGGACCTCATCGGTGGAACCAGAAGAATTGGAATTTCCAAACACAACAATTTCAGTTTTAGGGTGTATTCAGACCTGAAAAGTCCTTTGCTCCGCTTGCTTGATCCGAATCAAAAGCGGATCAAACTTTTTTCTTTTGCTCCGGTTCGTATTCAGACTGTCCTTTTTGCAAGTTAACTTTTTTATATAAACATATTGACACGTGTGACGATCGGCGCTCCTATTGGACAGCAGAGCTCACGGAGGATAGACGCGGAACCAGAGGAAAACAGAGGGCTCGTATGTGCAGCATGTCTGCTCTGCCTATGTTTGTTCTTTTTAGAGCAAAACCACCTTCAACATCAACAGCAGCTCATATGACGCAGGCCAAACATGTTGTTTTAAATATTGGAACAGTGTCGGAGAATGCGTGAGGAGAAAGCCGAAGGAGACTGGGCCTCATTCACGAACGGCTCTTAGGAACAGATGTGTACGTAAATCCTACTTACGCGGTTTTTACGAAGAAAGTGGCATTCACGAATATTTCTCGTAACCAGAATTTCTCTTGGGCAAGTACAAATCCTACGAGTCCTCAGGAGCACTCGTACGCATTCAGTGCCGACATGTTCACACGCCGGGGTTGTCCTCTTTGGTGAAGTTGAATAAAAATACAACATTCCAGTGATATGTCCGTCATATCGATGTATGTATTTATTTATTTGTAGTAATCTTTATTAGTAATCTTTATTTATATACCGCCTTTTTCACTGCAGATCTGGCCTACTTTTTAATTCATTTTGAAATGAAATGTGCCAACGCTTTATCAAATACATTGGAAATCTTGCCGTGTATTAGTGACCCCTTCCTATTTATAGGGGGCATTTCTTTATCCACGGGCCACAGAACAACGGCATATATACTGCTGCTGCAGGAGGTTACTGGGTCCGCGCTGAGTCTCTGCGCTGGTCTCTCCCATGGATCTATACGGGTCTGCACTGGTCTCTCCCATATACGGGTCTGCACTGGTCTCTCCCATGGATCTATACGGGTCTGCACTGGTCTCTCCCATGGATCTATACGGGTCTGCACTGGTCTCTCCCATGGATCTATACAGGTCTGCACTGGTCTCTCCCATGGATCTATACAGGTCTGCACTGGTCTCTCCCATGGATCTATACGGGTCTGCACTGGTCTCTCTCCATACGGGTCCGTGCTGCATGCTCCTGGATCCATACGGGTCCGCGCTGGTCTCTCAAGTCTGGTCTATGCGGTCTATCTTCGGTCCGCGCTGGTCTCTGCGCACCGGTCTCTCCAGTCAGGTCACTACAGTCTATGCGGTCTCTCCTATAGGTCCGCGCTGGTTTCTGTGTGCTGGTCACTCCAGTCTCTCCTCGGGTCTGCATTGGTCTCTGCGCTGTTCCGCGCTGGATCTCCTCCCAGGGTCCAAAATATTTTGAGATTAATCTCAAAACATTTTGAGATTCATCTTTAAAATAATACATAATATATTTTTAAATTAAGCTCATAACATTTTGATATTAATCTCATCATATTCTTAGATTAATCTCATAATTTTGCTAGTTCGACTTTATTATCATAATATTTCGACTTTTAAGTCAACATTTTATAACTTTATTCTCAGTCTGGTAAAAGAAGAAAAAAGCGTGACTCTTTTGCTCCGTGTAACTATTTGCTTTAGGCCTGTTGCTGTTTCCTCTGCCGTCTGCACACGGCCCTGCAGTCCCTTATATGGGCATTAGTGGGCGGTTACTTATGCTAAGTACCTATGCTAATGAAGCACCTGGCACGCGCGCTCAAATGGGATTCATCAATCTGAGAGAACAGCTGCGAACAATTCAGCGCCTTACGAGTGCGTTGATGAATCCCACGTGGGGACTTCTTAGAAATCTACTTAAGGACAACTTGAGAAGAAAGTTGAGTAGTTTCTTACGAAGTTATTCGTGAATGAGGCCCACTGTCTGTGCGCTCCGTGGCCTGTCCCACACATGGATCTATTATAATAACCCTGTCCCACACATGGATCTATGATAATAACTCTGTCCCACACATGGATCTATGATAATAACTCTGTCCCACACATGGATCTATGATAATAACCCTGTCCCACACATGGATCTATGATAATAACTCTGTCCCACACATGGATCTATGATAATAACCCTGTCCCACACATGGATCTATGATAATAACCCTGTCCCACACATGGATCTATGATAATAACCCTGTCCCACACATGGATCTATGATAATAACCCTGTCCCACACATGGATCTATGATAATAACTCTGTCCCACACATGGATCTATGATAATAACTCTGTCCCACACATGGATCTATGATAATAACCCTGTCCCACACATGGATCTATGATAATAACCCTGTCCCACACATGGATCTATGATAATAACCCTGTCCCACACATGGATCTATGATAATAACCCTGTCCCACACATGGATCTATTATAATAACGGCCCTGTTCAGCATAGTGGATAAACCATGGATCTATAATAACCACGGGACAAACAGACGCTGAGGATCAGGTAGGAACCAAAGAACACATTTCACTACATGATGCGGAATATGTCTCTTTGAGACGTGAGTCAAACAGTGTCAGGCTTTTAATAATGCAAATGGTTTGAAGATGCTGCCATTAACATCACTGTAAACTGTGAACAGTTGTAACTCCATAAGCCTGTTGCACAGCGTCTCCTCACTGCTCCAGGTCTGCACACGGCTCAGTGTTGTTGTGTAGCGTTAGCAGCATAGTTAGCATCATAGTTAGCATCATAGTTAGCATCATAGTTAGCATCATAGTTAGCATCATAGTTAGCAGCATAGTTAGCCGCTGCGTGGCTAATTCCTCAGTTTCTGTCTGCGGCTTGTTAAGCCCAAAAAATGCGCACGTATCTTGGAGTTGTGTCGGATCGACACCGGATGTATTCAGACCTGATTCGACTTGGACCAGAATTCGTTTGGAAGCGGACCGAGACCACCTCAAAAAGTGGGTCTCGGTTTGGTTCTTTGGTCCGGACCAGGATTCGTTTGTGTGTATTCAGACCTGCATAAAAGATTCGGATCAGAGTTCCAAACGAATCCTGGTCCGTTTAAAGTGGAGCAAATGTGCAGGTCTGAATACACCCTTACTTTCATTTAGGCTGTAGAGTCAAACATGGAAATCTTTATCATTGCACCCAGACCAAATGCATTCTTCTGTTAATTAACAACGTCGGGCGCTGATTGGAGATTTAAAAACACAAAACAAATGCCGTGACATTGACATCTTGTAAAACGTTGTGTTATTTTATGTGTAACTGAACACACACAGACACAGGACTTTACACAAATCACAATCCATAAATCTGTTGCCGCTTCAGTCCCGTCCATTGTCCAGCGAGCAGAACTGAATAGTGACTTA